GATCTACAACATAGATATGCAAATACTATCAGGACTAAGTTCATGATAAATTAAAGTTCAGTTAATCATATTACTTAAGAACTCCCACTTAGATAGACATCCCTCTAATCCTCTAAGTGATCACGTGATCCAAATCAACTAAACCATAACCGATCATCACGTGAAATGGAGTAGCTTTCAATGGTGAACATCACTTATGTTGATCATATCTACTATATGATTCACGCTCGACCTTTCGGTCTCAGTGTTCCGAGGCCATATCTGCATATGCTAGGCTCGTCAAGTTTAACCTGAGTATTCTGTGTGTGCAAAACTAGCTTGCACCTGTTCTAGATGGACGTAGAGCTTATCACACCCGATCATCATGTGGTGTCTGGGCACGACGAACTTTGGCAACGGGCATACTCAGGGAGAACACTTTTATCTTGAAATTTAGTGAGAGATCATCTTATAATGCTACCATAAATCAAAGCAAGATAAGATGCATAAAAGGTAAACATCACATGCAATCAAAAAATGTGACATGATATGGCCATCATCATCTTGTGCCTTTGATCTCTATCTCCAAAGCATCATCATGATCTCCATCGTCATCGGCATGACACCATGATCTCCATCATCTTGATCTATATCAATGTGTCGTCACATGGTCATCTCGCCAACTATTGCTCTTGCAACTATTGCTATCGCATAGCGATAAAATAAAGCAATTATTTGGCGCTTGCATCTTATGCAATAAAGAGACAACTATAAGGCTTCTGCCAATTGTCGATAACTTCAACAAAACATGATCATCTCATACAACAACTTATATCTCATCACGTCTTGACCATATCACATCACATCATGCCCTGCAAAAACAAGTTAGACGTCCTCTACTTTGTTGTTGCAAATTTTACGTGGCTGCTACGGGTTGAGCAAGAACCGTTCTTACCTATGCATCAAAACCACAGCGATAGTTTGTCAAGTTAATGTTGTTTTAACCTTCTCAAGGACCGGGCGTAGCCACACTCGGTTCAACTAAAGTTGGAGAAACTGACACCCGCCAGCCACCTGTGTGCAAAGCACGTGCGTAGAACCAGTCTCGCGTAAGCGTACGCGTAATGTCGGTTCAGACCGCTTCATCCAACAATACCGCCGAACCAAAGTATGACTTATATCGCCCATAACTCACTTGAGTTCTACTCGTGCATATAACATCAACGCATAAAGCCTGGATCGGATGCCACTGTTGGGGAACGTAAAAAATTTAAAAAATTTCCTACGTACACGCAAGATCATGGTGATGCATAACAACGAGAGGGGAGAGTGTTGTCCACGTACCCTCGTAGACCGAAAGCGGAAGCGTTATAACAACGCGGTTGATGTAGTCGTGTGTCTTCACGGCCCGACCGATCAAGCACCGAAACTACGGCACCTCCGAGTTCTAGCACACGTTCAGCTCGATGACGATCCCCGGAGTCCGATCCAGCAGAATGTCGGGGAAGAGTTCCGTCAGCACGACGGCGTGGTGACGATCTTGATGTTCTACCGTCGCAGGGCTTCGCTTAAGCACCACTACAATATTATCGAGGATTATGGTGGAGGGGGGCACCGCACACGGCTAAGAGATCAATGATCAATTGTTGTGTCTGCCCCCGTATATAAAGGAGCAAGGGGGAGGAGGTGCGGTCAGGCAAGGGGCGTGCCAGGAGGAGTCCTACTCCTACCGGGAGTAGGACTGCCCCCTTTTCCATGTTGGACTAGGACTTGGGGGGGGGGAAGGAGAGAGAGAGGGGAAAGGAAAGGGGGCGCCGCCCCCCCTCCTTGTCCAATTCGGACTTGGGGAGGAGGGGCGCGCGGCTGCCCCTTGGCCTCCTCTCCACTTCCTTCACTAGGCCCATTAAGGCCCATTAGGTTACCGGGGGGTTCCGGTAACCTCCCGGTACTCCGGTAAAATGTCGATTTCACCCGGAACACTTCCGATGTCCAAACATAGGCTTCCAATATATCAATCTTCATGTCTCGACCATTTCAAGACTCCTCGTCATGTCCGTGATCACATCCGGGACTCCGAACAACCTTCGGTACATCAAAACATATAAACTCATAATGAAACTATCGTCATAATGTTAAGCGTGCGGACCCTACGGGTTCGAGAACAATGTAGACATGACCGAGACACGTCTCCGGTCAATAACCAATAGCGGAACCTAGATGCTCATATTGGCTCCTACATATTCTACGAAGATCTTTATCGGTCAGACCGCATAACAACATACGTTGTTCCCTTTGTCATCGGTATGTTACTTGCGCGAGATTCGATCGTCGGTATCTTAATACCTAGTTCAATCTCGTTACCAGCAAGTCTCTTTACTCGTTCTGTAATACATCATCCCGCAACTAACTCATTAGCTGCAATGCTTGCAAGGCTTAAGTGATGTGCATTACCGAGAGGGCCCAGAGATACCTCTCCGACAATCGGAGTGACAAATCCTAATCTCGAAATACGCCAACCCAACAAGTACCTTCGGAGACACCTGTAGAGCACCTTTATAATCACCCAGTTACGTTGTGACGTTTGGTAGCACACAAAGTGTTCCTCCGGTAAACGGGAGTTGCATAATCTCATAGTCATAGGAACATGTATAAGTCATGAAGAAAGCAATAGCAACAAACTAAACGATCAAGTGCTATGCTAACAGAATGAGTTAAGTCAATCACATCATTCTCTAATGATGTGACCCTGTTTATCAAATGACAACTTATGTCTATGACTAGGAAACTTAACCATCTTTAATTCAACGAGCTAGTCAAGTAGAGGCATACTAGTGACATATTGTTTGTCTATGTATTCACACATGTATTATGTTTCCAGTTAATACAATTTTAGCATGAATAATAAACATTTACCATGATATAAGGAAATAAATAATAACTTTATTATTGCCTCTAGGGCATATTTCCTTCAGACCTCCATCGCCGGCGGCCAAGATCCCCTCGCCGGCCACCATGGCTGCCTGCCGCCATGGTCAGATCCATCCCCTACCTCCAGCCTTCACACGGGCGCATCCCCTCCCCCCTCCCTCCCTCCCCGGCTGCGACTGGGCGACCACAATCTCCATCGCCGGCGGCCAGGCGCTCCCTCGCCAGCCGCCATGGCTGCCTGCCGCCATGGCTGGATGCACCCGCGTATACTAGTGTTGCAACCGTCACCTAGAACAGCTTTAACAGCTGTTGAAAAAAGCTTCAACCATAGACGAAAAAGCTTCAATGGAACTGCACAGCAAGGGGAAGCTACAAACGTAGTTGGATTTTGTTACTACTGGCGAAGTTTTTTGCTACATCCATTAGGTGGAGCTGCGACCTCGCGACGATGACAACGATGATTTTGCTACAACCGTAGTAGAATTTTGCTACTACCGCTGAAGATTTTTGCTACATCCATGTAGAAAAGTTTCAACAGCAGATGAAAACAACACCAACCAGGCAATGTGAAAAGGAAAAAGCTACAACCATTGACTAAAAAAGCTTCAACGGTAGAGATTGTTGGAACCGGCGTCCAGAATTGCCAGAACGGGCTTCTTCTTCGATGGCGACCATGGTGACCAGGGTGACCACGATGCTTTTTTTTCTTCTTTTTTTTGTTGCAACCGGTATATGTTTTTGCTGCAACCGGTGATTTGTTTTGCTACGTCCGTTTCATTTTTTTCTACATTCATTCATGGCCGAGCTGAGTCCCGGGATGACAACGACTTTTCTTGTTGCAACCGTTGTAGTTTTTGCTACACCCTCCAGGAATTTTGCTACATCCGCTTTTTTCCTTGTGGAGTTGCAAGCTCGACGGCGGCGACGAGGATTTTTTTTCTGCAATCGTTGTCTTCATTTGCTACGACCGACATGAAAAAATGCTACAACGAGTATCTCTGTTTTTTGCTGGAACCAGTCAATCATTGGTGAAGCAGAGCTGCATCCATGACAAAAAAAGTTACAATGGCTGGAACCAGCGTCAACGTCGGGTCAGCCAGAAAACACTGGTAGATTTCCTACCACTGGTCAGCTCGGGGATCTCCGGGGAGTGCGGGCAGCCAGAACGACGAGCATGGATGGACGGGGCGACGAGCGCGAAGCGGCGCCATTGCCAAGGCGACGAAGCACGGGCAGCGCCCTTGCCGGCGGGCGGCTGGGGCGACAAGCGTGGGTGGCGCCATGGCCGGGGCGACGAGCGCCACAGGCGGCGAGGACGACGAGGACAGGCGGTGCCAAGGCGGCAAGCGCGGGCTTCGTTGTCACGCATCCATGACGGCCTTGACTGGCTCGCTCCTCTCTCTGTGTGCTGAAGTGGATAAGGTAAGGAAAAATAGAATAGGGGTTAGGATCTGACGGTCCCGTGCAGCCAGATCGGGCGGCTCTGAGCAGACCGGCCGAAACTTTCGGCCGGCGCACCGGCGCCTAGTGCTGCCCTATTTATAAAGCATGGCGAAAGCCTTTTTCGGTAATTAACATTCTCCCTTCTATAAAAAAATAATACGCCATTGACGTATCCTCGAAAAAAACCCATACGTTTATGCACACAAGTTGTTTTTCCCGCGAATACATGCATACAAGTTTTGTAGTACAAGAAAGGGCCACCCTTGTCACATACGTACTATATACTCTCATGCACATAGAGAAAGAACACGGCCAAACCAACATGATTTTTTCTTTTGAGAAACATCCAATCTATTCATCTTCAATCATCGCAGTTTAAAGAACTATAGGGGTAATAAAAATTACAACCATGCCCGTGGTCATCTAACGACGACTACAAGCACTAGAGCGAGCCGAAGGCATCGCCTCTCCCTCACTGGAGCCGGGCAAACCTTGTTTTAGTAAACAGTCGGTAAGTCGTCATGCTATAAGGGATTTTTTGCTTATATATATTTAGACGTGTACCCTTTGTATTTTCCTCATTCTATAAGGGATTTTTTGCCTATTGTCCCATGGCCACCTAAAAATACAAGTTCTAGCAAATTGTCTACCTAATCCTCAAAGTAATATGATACGGCAGCAAAGTGGCCTGCTTTATACCTTGATCCCTCGGGGTGCTTGATATCATTGGTACAAACATAGCAATGATATATATCCCAAATCACGCGCGAGCTCCGCGCAACATCACGACGTCCAGCTGTAAAACAATTCATGAGATGTCTAAGCAATTTTCAACTAAGCAAACTAGAAGATCTAAAAATACTTACTGGTTTGTTTCTTCTCATCAAGAAAATGGAAAGACGTTAGAGCCATTGCGTTAACTCGCCGTCCAACATGTTTGAGCTCAGCAAAAACAAGCACTTTAGGATTGTTCTTCTTTGGGCCATTCTTAGCATTAGCATAGAAGTTCACATGGGCGTAATCGTAAGATCGCTCATAAAATATTGCTCCATCTATTGCCTCAACAAGTGAATACTTAACCTGGCCATTGTCACGAATAAAAACAAGCTCAACAAGTATGACAGTACACACAAGTTTCAACATCTATACAATTGATAAAGAAAACAAAGAATTTTATAAAACATTGACCAGCACATTTATCTTAATCATTAACATTCACTCCTTCTCTGAAATGAAACATAGTGAAGAGGACAGTCCTTGTTATAACTTAATAGTAGTAGCAGTAGCAGTAGCAGCAGCAGCAGCAGCAGTAGTAGTAGTAGTAGTAGTAGTAGTAGTAGTAGTAATAATTTCTCAATCTTTCATATTTGGTTCTCCCATTGCTGTGTAGGGGAACATTGACTCCACCAAAGGTACAATTGTCCAGTAAGTTAGCTTATGTGCTAAGTTATCTTTGGCTTCTATTACTCAGCTTATGTTCTATTATTGTGTTATTAGGTTCAGTATCAAATTTGTCAGCTTAGACATGGGGGAAATGTTTTTTCAGAATATGGATTTTAGTTGCAACATTACACTTGTTGCTTTAGTAATACAATTCTGCCGTCTTATTTCACTGTGATATCCTAAAAGGAACCTTTTCTTCTTGTGGCCTGTGTGCAGCACATAGTAACATGGTTCTATTAAAGTTACTTGAGTGGCAGATAAGGTTTTATCGGAGTTACACATCAACAAGTTCTGTAGTAGCCTTAATTGAACAAATCAGACTCTTGCAGCAAAGAACCTTAAATATATATAGTTACCTTATTGTTTTTGTTTTTGTTGTAACATTTCAGAGCTAACTCAGCAAATCTCTTCGTCTGCTTTTGGTAACGCTCTTCACGCGCGGCTTGATCGAAGTTGGCTGGCTCACCCCAGTTCTCCACCACAGCACCCATAAAGTCATCTACCAGGGCATTATATGAATGATCTTCCTGTTTGCCGTCTGGTTCCCTATTTGGATAACTGGTTCAGCACTTAACTAGTATGATGGACAAGAAACGCCGGCAGATTACTCACATTCAGGGAACAACTGCTAGCTACTAAAAAATGACAATAGGCAAGTAAAACTATTTCCAATGTGTATGAAACAACCAGAACATCATGGTCTTTTGATTGCACTTAGTCCAATCATAGAGTTGATATCACAAGTTTGTTTCCTATCTAGTGTAGAACATATCTGCATATTTAAATGAGGCCCGTACAAATCTGATGCAAAGTTTTGTAAATTATACCTGTCAGTGATCCCTGAACCATCAGAGACGCCGTATTGCCCAAATCTTATCCTTTGATCATCCTCGTAACAGTATCTGCGTCCACAACCACAAGAAACTTGAAACACAGAGCCAAACAAGTTAAAAGATACATACTAGTCCGAGGAACAGGGGTAGATAATCACATGGGACTGTCAGGGCAGTCAGGGGTCGTGCTGCCATCATCCATCAGAGGCGGAGCCAGCACGCTCGAAGACGAAGAGCCGGCTTCGAACCGAGACCACTTGGCAGATGGCGAACCAGCTTTGCGTGCCGACTCGAGGCGAGGGCTGCGGCTGCGCTCACGCCGGTGGTGGTGCTCGCGGTGCCGCTCTCTGCGCGGTGACGGGCTCGGCCGCCGGTACGGTGCATGCGAAGTGTCAGCGGAGCGTTGCGGCCAAGGGCGTGGAGACGCGGAGCGGCGCCGTCGCCGGTTGGAACTCACGCGGAATTCGGACGGCGAGGGGCTGTCGATGCCGTGAAAAGGCGGGCGTGAGTTATCGCGCAAACCGTCCATGCCGAAGCCTCCACGGCGGTCGGGTGTGTGTCGTGCGCGTGGTCATGGTGGGAGTGGGGAATTGATGAAGGTTTGCCTTGGCTGAGTTGGCTCCTTCTCCGATAGGGAAACAGAAGCAGGATTAGTTTTTGGTTCCAAAAAAGAAGAAGAAGCAGGATTTCCTTTCGGAAGCAGGCTGCTGGCTGGTAGCGGCAGAGTGTCGGTAAGAGTACTCTGTGCGCTAATGGCATATGTAGCGGTCCCCTAAAATTTTGCTTCTCGGCTGTCCGGGCGAGTCGCGAATCAACCTGTGGTTTAGTTGGTTAGGTGGACAGTGGTATTTCCAACCCATCAGGGTTTAAATCCTGGTGCTCGCAGTATTCCTGGCTTGTGTCTGTACTGATGCTAAAAAAAAACTGTCCGGGCGAGTCTGTTTTAAATCCTGACCAGGGCCGGTCCTGACATTTCAGGGGCCGGAGCGACAATAGAACTGGGGACCCTTAATGTAATCATCAAAATAAGAGTACATACTAACATTATATACTAAAAGCACTTGAGATGCATCCAAAATCAATATTTATATAACGAATAAATCATATATATTATCTTCAAAAAATTCTAACATTCCATAGATGCAAAGTCTTTGATGATCATACCAAAATTATCTTCCAACAATTTCTATGAACTTTTGCTAGAGACATCTGTTAGATAATATATGTCTCTCAATCCTAATAAATGATAGAATTGTAAACCACAATGTAATTAGAATTTAAATTAAACATAAATTTGCTATGTGTGCTAGACATCCATTCAGTATTTGAGATGATGGAAATTACACACCTGGACGCTCTTGGCTGTTGAGGAACGATCTAGCTGGTGAACTAGCAAGAAATTGATTGAAGCAGGGACTAGACTAGCAGAGGTAGGAGGAGAGGACGGCAGGGGCGGTTCATCGGCCTTCAATGTCACTAGAGGGCGGCAGGGAATTGTTGAACGCCTGCGGTCTGCCATGGTGACTTTGGATTAGTTTTTTTTAGAAACTGAATATGAGGGAGTCGGTGAGTCAGATATGAAGAAAGAGGAAGCGAGGATCACGCTAGGAGATTTCGTCTTACGAATGCCCGGGGATAATGGCGATCATCTAGCGACTGCAATCCTTCTAGGGAAAAAACTAGTGATTGCAACTTGTAGCTAGCCATCAATGGGATATCTACTACTACCTGTGTACGTGTACCTGCCGCCTCCCTGCCTACTTTGTGTACGTGCATCTGGCCGGAGGCCCCTTAGGACTCGGGGGCCCGGGGCGGCCGCCCCCTGCCACCCCTCAGGGCCCGCCCTAATCCTGACTAGAAGGGTTGAGCACGCTTTGCCGCGCCGTTGAATTTGTTAGGGTTCGTAAATTTCTTTACTCACTCTATTTTAAAATATATGATGTATTTTTTTAAAGTCTAACCTCTTTAAATTTGATCAAATTTATAGATAAATATATCAAAATTTATAATATTAAATCGGTTTTGCTTTATCATGAAATGAATTTTCATTTTCTTGTTTAATATTGTGGATGCGATATTTTTGGCTCTGAACTTGGTCAAAGTTAAAGAATTTTGAATTTCCAAAAAACTAATAACCCTTATATTTTGAAATTGATGGAATATTTAGTTTGGCCGGTGGGGGAGACGACGGAGTGTGTTTTATGTTTATTTATAATGTGGTTAATTGATAGGCCTTTCGCACTGTGATTCTGTGTTATCCGCTAATCAAACCATATTTATGTGGGAATTTTTTTCATCAGTGGTTGCATGTACTGTATTTCGTGCTATAGTATCACATGGTGGCATTTTTTCTAGGTGATGGGAGTCTGCGAGGGGTTGATATGTTTTATAAGCCGGTTGCTGCTGATTGATTTGAAAAATCGTTGGCCGGATCAAAATCGTAAATCAAATCCAAAATTGAATACCCCAATCGAATGAAAGAGCTTTAAAATTAGGGAACATAAAGAATTCAAATAATTAAATGGGAGAGCCCCTTGAGAAATTGTTGACCCAGTCAAAATCGGGTGACCCAATTCTAAATTGTAGCCTCAATGAATTGTGAAGATTTAAAAATTAGAAAGCATAATGTTTTGTATAAAAAAATAATTGAGAGAGTTTTGGAAAATTGTTGATCCGGTCAAAATTGGATAATCAAATCTCAATTGGAGACCTCAATTGATTGTGAGGCCTCCAATCCTAAGGAGCTTAGTAATATAGTATATTTATACATGCATGTAATCATACTAACGAAAGGGCCCGTGCATTGCAGCGGAATATTTTTTTCGTAATCTCCAATGGCCATGACTATATCAGTATATCTTGTTGCATCACTGAGATGCACTATCACTCTCAATTTTGTGAAATTATGAACATGTTTTAAAACTCGTCACATATCTAAAATCGTGATCATTTTTCAAATTCATGAACACTATTACAAATTTTTGAACATTTTCTAAAATCAAGAACATTTTTTGAAATTATGAACGTTCAATACAATTTACAAAGATTTTTTAAAATGGTGAACATTTTTATACATTTTTTGAATCGGTGAACATTTCTACAATTGATGAATATTTTTTTGGAAATTGGTGGCACAAATTTCTAAATTCAAGAACATTCTTTTTATCTAGCAAAAGGGCCCGTGCATTGCAACGGGAAAAAAATCATGAACATTTTGATGCATCACCGAGATACACTATCGCTCTCATTTTCATGAAATTGTGAACATTTTCTAAAATCATGAGCATTTTTTGAACTCATGAACATATCTGACATCATGAACATTTTTTTACAGATTTTCGAACATTTTTTTAAAATCATGAACATTTTATACTATTTTGCAAACATTTTTCTTAAATTTGAACATTTTGAAAATATTTTTCTTTAATAGGCAAACATTTCTAGAATCGATAAACATTTTTTGGAATTATTTGGTGGAACAATCTTTGAAGTTCATGAACATTTTTTTATTTAATGAATATTTTTTGAAATTCATGATCATTTTTTGAATCAGCGAACATTTTATGAATCAATAAATTATTTTGTAAGTTGCAAACAGTTTTGTAAGTTATGAACACAGGGGAATATTTTTTGAACTGGCAAAATTTTGTTCAATTTCATTAACATTTTGAATACATTATTTTTTGTTCAATTCTGAATATATTTTGAATATGCGAACAGAGTCCACAAACATTTGTGAGTAATCAAACATTTTATTTCAAAATTCTTATTTTTTTAATGCTCGAAACTTTTTGAATTGTCATATTATTTAAATCTCTATCTCTACTACTATCAAACAAGCAAACATATTCATCGCTAAGTACATCTAGCCTAATCTACACATAACAACCCCGACCAATTACAGCCTCACGATCAAACACACTTAATTAGATCTAACCATCAAATTAAAACTAACCCTCATCAAAAGTGCCTTTAGCAATTTGAACTCGGCAGCGGCTAGGCGTAAGCCGGCTGATCTTATAAAAGATCAGCCGCCTGCGCAGCCGCCTGATTTAGGAGTAGGTGGCCGTTAGACCGTAGGCTCCCAACAACGCATCTTCCTCTTCTTCCTTCGCATTCTTCTCTTGCAGTGCTTAGTCGTTGGAAGCAGCAGCCCCTCCTCAGCAGGCAATGAAGCGCTGCCGTTTGCCGGAGTCTCGTCTGGTCGCAGCAACCCCGCCATCGGCCACAGACGATGTTCCGACGCAACATTGGTCGCCTGGCGATGCTCCAACGCAGCACCGGAGCCTCGACAAATGCTTCATCGCAGCACCGGCGAACCCGACGATGCTTCATTGCAGCTCCGGCGCCTCGGCAATGCTTCATCGCAGCACCGGCAAACCCGACGATGCTTCGTCGCAGCTCTAGCGCCTCGGATATGCTTCATCGCAGCACTGGCGAACCCGACAACGCTTCATCGCAGCTCCGGCGCCTCGGATATGCTTCATCGCAGCACCGACAAACCCCGACGATGTTTTGTCGCTGCTCCGGCGCCTCGGCAATGCTTCATTGCAGCACCGGCAAACTCGACGATGCTTGGTCGCTGCTCCGGCTCCTCGGCAGCACGCCGCGACGACGGATGCAGCGACTGCACGCGGTGGAAATGACGGATCCAGCGACAGCACGCGGCGGCGCATGCTGCGATGCAGCTGCGGCAATGGCAGATGCAACAACAACACGCGGCGGCGATGGCGCATGCTCCTATGCAGCACGCGGCGACGGAGGAAGCTTGCTACCATGCAGCGACGGAGACGGCGCATGCTGCTATGCAGCGCGCAGCGGTGGTGGGCGACGACGACGATGGATGCAACGGCAGCACGCGGCGCCTGCGATGGCACGGTTCCAACGGCGGTGGTACCGTGGTAGTGCTGGTGGCTGCGGATGGGAAGCATCCGTTGCCATGCACTTGGAGAAAGACCAGAGCAGTTTGAGAAGACTTACCAAAGACTTACCAAACAGTTTGAGAAGACCATGCACTGCGAATGGTTTAGGATGCGGCTTACACAACGCAAAGATCAGTAGGTTTACCCAAAGAGTTGTCCTTTTAACTCGCGGACGAAAACTCTGCCACCGGAGGAAAAATTCCGCACCTAGCGTCGGCCTTCCGTCAAAAGGAAAAAAAACACAAAAGAAATCTCACGCCGCCGCCGCTGCCGCCGTTTGCTCCAGATGTCCTGCTTGGGTCGCTGCCGTGCCTGGCGCTGCCGCCACGCGTGCCCGTGCCGAGGTCAGTTAACCGGGTTTGCTGAGCGGAGAGATCCCAAGGCAAAAGAGTCGTCGCCGTGCAGGAAGCTCTCCTCTGCCCAGCCCGCTGGCGCCGTTGCCTTCAGGTTCAGGCCAAACCGCACGGCTCCGGTGATGGCCGCCTCTGCTCCCCAATGGCGACGGCCTCTTCTAGGCAGCTACACCACTCCGTCCTCTGCCAGGTCGGCGCCGCAAGGGACGTGGACGCACACGGGGCGGCCGGCCGCGAGTGAACGTTGGTGCGCG